CCCCCCCCCCCCCCCCCCCCCGGCCCCCCCTCCTCATACACACACCCAGACGTCGTTATCTCTTGTGGAATGTTTTTTGTGATTTACGCTCCTATGTTCCTTGCTCCTGGGTGACTGCAGGAACGCATTGGGGAGGTGCGCGACTTCCCCTCCATCCGCAAGATGTTCATGCAGATCCCCGCCGAGTTCTGCTCTAAGGTAATCTGCGCCGGCGTCTCTTCCCGCGACCCCTCCACGCTCGACTTCTCCCTCTCTAGCGCCGGCGGAGGTGGCATGGCCGGAGGAGACGGGGCCGGCATGGCCGAGGCAGGGGCGGCGGGGAGGGCGGGTCTCACCGGGGAGCCGTTGCTGACGGAGGCTAGTCGACTGCTCGCGGCGGGCGTGGCGGGCGCCAAGCCCGGTGAGTTTGGTGTGGATTGACCGGGGCGGGATGTACGCGTGTAAACGCATGCCGTACTGTATTACAGCCGTTTTGAACAAATGGGGCACGTTCTGATGTTTTGTACGGGTTGGATGATTGACCACGCGTCATCGGGCGGACGGGAGCATTGTGCCCCACCGGACCGATCATCGATGGCCAATCGTTCCTTCGTACTACTGCCAATGTTGGCTCGAGAATGGGGGGTCGGAGGTTATGATGGCTGTGTGGGTGTGTGTGCCTGTGGGGCTTGTGTCTCCGTGGATGGTTTTGATAACTTGGGAGGGCGGTGGGGTGGGGAAATGAGTCCCTTTTGTGTGTTGGAGAGGCTACGTCAAGAGCAGGCGCAACCATCGATGACAGTTATGAGTGGGACGGGGGAACTTCAGAGTTCTGCAGGTATCGCCTTACCAGCAGGACCGTAGGCGTGCGGACGAAGTTTGTGTGGCTCTGTTTGTGGTGTACGGTTTCGGAAGGCATCAACGGCCGCGAGTCGGCTGGTCAGTTGGATGAAGGTTAGCGTCAGCGTGATGTCAAGCATTATTTGACCGATTGTCAATCCGTAGAAATTTTGTGTGTGCGTGTGTGTCCTTGACCTTTATTATTTGCATCGACCGCACTAACCGGCTGACGGATGAACCGACGTCAGCCTCAGTGCGGTTGACAGTTGAAAGCAGCAACATGCTTCTGAAGGCCATGAAAATGGGACCTGTGTGTTCCTGGCACACATTCCTTACTCCTTGGTCCTCCCTGCACCCCCTCCCCCCCCCCC